GTCTGCCCCCCCATTTCCTCTTCCACTGTAAAAGCTCTTCCTTGTGAATTTCTTTTATATGAGATAATTTTCCCCATTCTTCCTCTCCCTTTCCCCTTCTCCCAAAGCATCCCTCATTCTCACCTATTTTTTTTAACATCATCCTACATAATTGACTCACTCCTATGCTCTTTTTCTACTTAGAATTCTTCCAACTGCCCTAGAAATGATAGTTCTTAGAAGTTACCCATATCAGCTTCTCATATAGAAAGGTAAACAGTTTGATCTTATTGAATCCTGTATGATTTTTCTATCATATTTACCTTTATATGCTTCTCTTGAGTCTTGTATTTGGAAATCAGATTTTCTATTCAGTGCTGGTCTTTTCATCAGGAATGCTTGAAAGTCCTCTTTTTCATTAAATATCTATTTTCCCCTTCAATAATTACACTCAGATTTGTTAGCTAGGAGATTCTTTGTTGTAGTCTCAGCTCTTTTGCCTTTGGGACTATCATATTTCAAGCCTTTTGCTCCTCAATATAGTAGCTGCCAAATCTTATGTGACCTTGACTATGACTCCATGGTATTTCTTTCTGGTTGCCTGAAGTATTTTTTATTTGACCTGAGAGCTCTGGAATGTCTCTATAATATCCCTGGGAGTTTTTATTTGGGATCTCTTTCAGTTGGTGATAGGTGGACTCTTTCCATTTCTAATTTACCCTATGCATATCAGAAGAATTTTTCTTGATAATTTCTTGAAATATGATGGATTTCTTGAAAAAGGATACTGGATTTTGAGTAGTCCAATAATTCTTGAATGGTCTGTCCTCAGTCTATTTTCCAGGCCAGTTGTTTTTCTGATGAGATATTTCACATTTTCTTTTATTTTTTTTTTCATTTTTTAAATTTTGTTTTATGGTTTTTTGGTGTCTCAGGGAGTCATTAGTTTCCATTTGCCCAATTCTTCTTTCTTAAGGAATTATTTTCTTCTGTGAGCTTTTGTACCTCTCTTTCCATTTGTCCAGTTCTGATTTTTAGGAGTTATTTTCATTAGTGATTTTTGTACCTCTATTTGGCCAATTCTGTGTTTTAAGGTGTTATTTTCTTCAGTATTTTTGTGCTTCCTTACCAAGCTGCTAACTGTCTTTTTTTATAATTTTTTTTCCTTTTCTCTCATTCCTTACCTATTTTTCCTCTACCATTTTTATTTGATTTTAGTTCTTCCAAGAATTTTTGTTAAGCTTGTGTCCAATTCACTTTTTTTTTCCTTTGAGGCTTGGCTATAAGCTCTTTTGACTTCATTGTCCTCACTGAGTTCCTGTCTTGACCTTCTCTGTCACCACAGTAGCTTTTTATGGTCAGGTTCTTTTTTTTTTTTGTTCATTTTTCTGTCCTTTTTTTTTTAATTTTGAGCTTTATGTTAAAGTTGGGCTCTGTTCTTGTATGTGACAAGGGGCACTGTCTGAAGTTTCAGAATTGTTATTATTGTTATTTTCAGAGCTAGTTTTGGGGATTTGGAAGTTTTCAGTCTTTTCAAGGTCATGTGATCTGGGGAGAGGTGTGGTCACTGCTCTCCTGGTCCTCACCTAGCAACGTTCCCTGATTCCTTAGGATTGCAATGGATACTACCTCTCATGGCTTCTGTTCCTTTAATTAAAGTGCTCCTCTCTGTTCTTGATCTACAACCCAGACATGGTTATAGACAATCTAGTTGACAAACAGAGTCTTGTCGTACATGCACTGGCAGCATAGGAGTCACCTGTAATCTCCTTCTGACCAGTTGCAAGGTTCTTTCCTTATCATCTCCGGCTTTAGAGCTCCTGATGATGATGCTGCTTCTGGCACCAACACCTAGTCTCACCACTGGTGTTTCATCCATATGGACTTTGGGTCAGCTTCCACCCCTGTATCACTAATACCCCTTCTGACCTGCTAAGTTCTCTTGGACTGGAAAAACGTCTTACTCTGACCTTTTGTTGTCTCTGTCACTCCAAAATTTGATTGGAAGAATTATTTTAAAGTTGCTTGGAAGGGAAAGTTGGGACAACTTAGCTGAGTTCTTTCTGTCCTGTGCTCTCTTGTAGTGCTATTGCCTTATGTATTGAAGACCCAGAAAGAAAAAAGTATTTCTTGCCACCACAGTACTTGAAACTTTCAAGTAGTTCATCATCAGAAACTGATGTGAATTTTATCAGTGGAAAAGATATTAAAGAAGAATCATTAGCTTCTACTTTATCATAAGGGCCATAGGACTTTTCTATCTGCCTTGCAGCTGCACCGTAAGGACCATAGGACTTTTCCATCTGACTCAAAGCTGAAACCTGTCATATACATTATCTTCCAAATTAGAATATGAGCTTCTTGAGGGCAGAGACTGTTTTGTTCTTTCTATTTGTATATTCAAGCACTTAGAACAGTCTTTTGCACATAGTATATGCTCAATAAATGCTCATTCACTTCTTCATTCATAGAATTTTAGGTTGCATTTATGCCAAAGAGTGTACTAGGAAGATGATAGTCCCATTGTACTTTGCCCTGATTAGATCAAATTTGGAGAATGCGGTTAATTCTGGGCAATACACTTTAGGAAGGCATCGATAAGCTGGACAGTGTCTATCATAGGGCAATGGGATACATGGATGGATGAAAAAGCATTTACTAAGTTATTACTATTTAAAGTTATGTCAATAAATATTTATTAAGTGTTCTGGGTCCCATGCTAAATGCTGGGGATACAAATACCAGCAAAAAAAAGAAAGATTGTTCCTATCCTCAAAGAACTTACATTTTAATGGGAGAAGACATGTGTTTGTGTATATATCCATATAACTATTAGAGAAAGAGAGAGACAGAGAGATAGAGACAGAGACAGAGAGAGAACTGAAAAGTATATAGGTAGGAGGAGAGTGGTGGTGGCAAGTCCAGAGAATGAAGGTTAGCCCCTTCTCAAAATGGATGTTATAGCAAAAACTCATCAATAGGAAAGAGTGTCTTTATGTTCCAGAATGTCACAGGGCTCCAAATTCATGGCATTTGGTGGTTGATTGAAGAAATTGTTAAACCTGAACAAGAATAGATTTAGGGGGAAAGGTGGGATTATGATAACCTTCTTTATGTATTTGAAAGGCTGTCAGATGAAAAAGAATTGCATTTGTTGGGTTTGGCCCCAATGGCCAGAAAACTAGGAATACAAGGTGGAAATTGCAGAAATACATATTTAGGACTGATATAATCAAAACAAAAACAATTTCCCAATAATTGAAACTATCAAAATGGGGAACAGGCTACTTCATTAGAGTATAAGCTCTTTCTCCCCAGAGATCTTTAATCAAGAAGTGGATCAATCAATAATCAATTAATAAATAATTTATTAAATGCCTACCATGTGCCAACCAGTGTGTTAAATGCTTGGGATACAAAAAGAGGCAAAAGTCAGTCCCTGCCCTCCAGGAGCTTACAATCTAATGGGAGAAAAAACATGCAAACAAATATATACAAAGTCAATTTTATAAAAGATAAATAGGGAAAAACTAGCCAAAAGAAGGCATGAAAATTAAGAGGTTTTGGGGAACATTTCCTACAAAAGAAGGCATTTTCATGGGGACTTGAAGCTAGAGAAATGAGTAGAAGGAGCAAAGGATAACCACTTAGGTATACTGTTAAGGGAATTCTTGTTAAAGTATGGGTTGGATTAGATGCCCCTAATGTATCTTGCTACTCTTATATTCTATAACCCCATTTGATTCTACTTCTCTGAATTGTGTCAACTAAACTTGAATCTAGTTCCTTTTTTTTTAAAGGGAAAGAAACAAACATTTATTAAGCACCCCCTATATGCCAGGCGCTGTGCTAAGTAAGCACTTTACAAACATCTCAGATGAAGGTAGTGATTGGGGATGTTAGGAGTTGGTTGACCTTACAAATTTGCCCAAGGGCATACAGCTTATTAAGTGGTATAGTGGCAGAATTGTGTCTAATATTGGTCCCCTGAATTCCGTTGTTGTTGTTCAGTCATTTTTCAGTCATATCTGACTCTTTGTGACCTCATTTGGGATTTTCTTGGTTAGGATACGGGAGTGGTTTGTCATTTCCTTCTTTAGCTCCTTTTATAGATGAAGAAACTGTGGCAAACAGGGTTAAGTGACTTTTATAGGTTCATACAGGTAGTGTCTGAGGTTGGGTTTGAATTCAGGAAGAGGAGACTTCTTGATTTCAAGCCAGGCACTCCATCCACTATACAACCTAGTTGCCCCTCGCTGAATTTCAGGCTACTGTTTGTTATTTCCACTACATCCATATGGCCTCTCAGAAGGGACGAGTTCCATTCTCTTACCTCAAAATGATATAGAACATATTTATAAGAACAATCAATGATAAATCATCTCTCAGAAAGATGGGATTCCTTTAACATTCTTGAGAGATTATAATCTAGTATGGCCTTATTTTTTTAAGGACATTGGCTTAAATTTGATAAGAAAGATTCTCTTTTCATACCCAGAGTCCCCTCTGATTTTGTACTAATCCTTGCTACTCTTTTGGAAGGAATTTAAGTATCTCTGTTTCTACAATGGCTTTTTTAAAAAAATGTCATTTTATTTAAGCCTGCACTCACTTATTTGCCAAATAATCGTTGATATCTCCCACCCCCATTCCTGACTTCTCTTAGCAGATATTTTATCTCTAAATGTGTTAAGGATATTGAAACTATGTGCTTATATTGCTCTCACTGCTGACAGAGTAAACTCAAAGGACTCTAGGATCTCTAAAGCATAGACTAGAATGTCATTTCTTCCCAGACTGGGTCTCTGAAATCTCAATTAAGTTGAACATTCCTGAACATTATGCAAGCACCCTTCTTTTTACTTTCAATAAAAAAGGGAGTAGAGGGTGATTAAGAAGACAGAGAAAGGGAGACAGAAATCTAACATAGTCTTTGAAATGGATGGGGAAAGAGGGAAATATACAAAGGAGAAAATGTCAGTAAATATAGCGGAGTTCTGCTTTGGGTCTTTGCAACTTACGTGAGTAGGCCAGTATTATACGTGCTTTAGGGATTTCCTAAATGGAAACTCAGCAACCTGAAAGGCTGAACACAGCTTACAAGGTAGCAGTCTAGATTTCCCAGAGGTAGCGTCTTTGAGTCTTCATCGCTAGGAGCTAGCAAGTTTGGGGAGTTGTTTCATAGCAGTACTCTTTTTGAACCTCAGATCCTGCTCTGACTATATCCACAGAAAACATTCACAGCGTCTTTGGAGGCAAAAAGAGAATTTCAGGCCAGAAGTCAATTTAATTTTTCAAAGTATACTCTTTTCTAGCCCACTATATCTATCTTTAACAGCTTTCTTGCGTGCACATATGACTTTAATCCACTAATCTCCCCATTTTCACCGGTAACTTCTTCCTGATTCTGGCTACCTGACTTTTGAATCAGTATGTAATTAACCTCTGTATTTGATATATTCTACTATGGCTTGCCTGAATTTTGACCTATATATTTTGTTTTGTCCTAGACTTCTTCGAGTCAGCCTATCTAATCCAGGGGTGGGGAGCCTGGGGCCTCGAGGCCACATGTGGCCCTCTACGTCCTCAAGTGGAGCCCTTTGACTGAATCCAAACTGAATCCAAATCCTTTGGGATTTGTTCTGTGAAGTTTGGATTCAGTCAAAGGGTCCCACTCGAGGACCTAGAGGGCCACATGTGGCCCGAGGCCTCAGGCTCCCCACCCCTGGATTCCTCACCTCTCATCTAATCTATTTTTTTTGCCTTTTTTTTTTTAGGCAATTGGGGTTAAGTGACTTGCCCAGGGTCACACAGCTAGTAAGTGTCAAGTGTTTGGTCTGAGGCCGGATTTGAACTCAGGTCCTCCTGACTTCAGGGCCAGTGCTCTATCCACTGCGCCACCTAGCTGCCCCCTGATCTAATCTATTTCTAAAACATGGGTCTGACCTCATCATTCCTTTTCTCAAAAAACTGAAATGATTCCTTATTACCTCCAGGATGGAATATAAACTTCTCTGTATGGTATTTAAAGCCTTTCACAAGCTGACTGCAGTCAATTTTCCCAGATGTTTTAAGATTATTCTCTTTCATGATCTACAGTCTAGCAAAAATAGGCCCAATAATAATAATTAATAATAATAATAATAATAAATAATTTATATATCACCTTAAGGTTTTCCAAGCACTTTGCATTTCCCAAAGGTAAGTATTTGAGGCTTCATTGCTAGGAGCTACTCAGTTCAGGGAGTTGTTTCATCATAGTAGTCTTTGAGCCTCATAAATTGTCTCATTTGATCCTTATTACAACTCTGATAGGTTTGTCCTATTCTCACCTCAAATTTTACATGTAAGGAAATGGATCAAGAGAGAGCTTAAGTGACACATATACCATTCCACCTCCCAAATCAGTACCTTTGTATAGACTGCTCACTCTATCATTTCCCTGCTCCCCCCAAAGAATCCCTGCCTATTTTCAAAGCTCAGCTCAAGCTACATCTTTTACTGTGCAACTATTTTGTATTTACTTATATGTAAAAATCTCATCAACCTCCGTGAATTTAATTTATCCAGATTATTCTCATTTCTGTTTATTCAGATCTAACCCATTTCCTCACCTCTAGTTTTGGATCAATGACTGCTTATTAGCCATATTGAACTGGATGTCCCATAGATGTGTTAAATTCAATGTATCTAAAACTGAACTCATCATCTTCCAAACTTTCCTATTCCTACTATTGAGGGCAGTATCATTATCCCTATCACCCAGATTTGAAATCTAGATCATCTTCAACTTTGTAGTCTCATTCACCCTACACATCAATTCTTTTGGCAAAATCTGCTAAAACATCTCTCGAATACAGCCTTTATCTCCTCTGACACAGCTGCCACACTGGTGTAGTTGCCTAATAGCAACCTTTCCTTCTCACCCTCCTTCACCTGATCCCTAGTACCTTTACTCTGAGGTTACTTCAAAGTTCTTGGCATATAGTAAGTATTTTACATAACATGTGTAAGCATTGTTTTCCTTAACCTAATACAAGCTGCATAAGGGAAATGACTGTTTTGTTTTTATGTTTCTATATCCAACACCTAGCAGAATACCTTACATATATTAGACACAAGTATGTTTGTTGTTTTAGTGTGCTAATCTTTCATTTCTAAATTTTGTCTTAGTATTCACAAACCTAGGTTATAGTTCAATCTCAATATCTACACCTGTCCAAGTCCTGATTTAAAGTCTTTTAAATAATTGCCACATCTTCCAATGAATAGCTAATTCTGGTTAGTTAATGAAAAGTATGTTAAGAGCAAATTCCTATAACTGTAGCAATAAGCAGAGATGAACCCCTAGTGGCATGAAATATTAACGTCATCCCCAATCATGTATTACCATAGTACAAAAGAGCTCACTGGGGGTTAAGGCAACAAATAGTAACAATTCATAGGTGCAAAATTTATGATATGAACATATTAAATTACAATTGTTCACATTTTTCATTAATCCAACCCAACAGTGTTCTTGTGATGCTTCTTCCTTCTTCCTTCTCTGTTCACCCTCTATGCTCCTCACTTATCTCTCATCTTTTTATCTAGAACTCTGCCACTCCCACTCATGTATTAAAAATATTCCTCCCCTCTAACCTTTCTAGTCACTCCTTAAAATGCATTTGAAGTTAGGGAAAATATCTAAATTGCTATTTAAATTGGGGATGGGAGGGTGGTAGATTAAATACAAAAGCCCTTTGATGATGCAATTTACCACATAATTTTTATAGATGTATACATTTCAAGTGAATTTAATCTGCATATTTTCTGACTCATTTCCATTCCATTATCAAAAGTTCTCTTAAGAAAGTTGCTCCATTTTAAAAGGAGGCTACATTGTGTCACAATGATGACTTCCCAACCTTTTCTTTCTGGAGTTGCGTTGTCAGAAAATTCTTCCTTTGTCTAACCTCATTACCTTTACTCTTTATTTCAGCACATCTTCTGTCTTTAGTGAAGCTCAAATAGTCAGTCATCATATTTTGAGGCCTTGAGGACTAGTAAAATATTAAATACACTTTCCTTTCCACTTTTTTCCTCTATGAAAAAAAAAAGACAAAACAAAACAGGTTTCTTTTAACCAGAGCAGCATCTAGGAATAATTAAGAATTTTTTCACCTGAAACAAAAATAGTTGTTGTTGGTGGTGATAGTAATAGTGCTCTTGGTGGTGGTAGTATATGAATCTGTGAGGGGGGAAAGAGTTCAGTATAGAGAACGGTCTAATGCATGGGGTGGGGGTGGGACACAAAGGTCATTCTGACCACAGCAGTAACCATGGAAAAGGTATGACCCTCTCCAATAGGTTGATGTGCTGGGAGGGTTCTCTATCCATCTTGTTCTACTTTAATGTTTCTTTATTGTCTTTCTTTCCCTACCAAATTTTTTAATCATTTCTACTTCTGATGCTATGAGGTTGGCTGTTCACTGTGCCCTCCAATTGTTCTTCATATCTATTAAATTCTGAAAACAAAATGAGATTCAGTATTTAGCCTCATGATTGTAGTAGGTGGTGGCAAAATCAGGTCATTCCTCCTACATAACATTACAATACTTTAAAAAAAACATTCATCACACTATAATATTTGTAATATTCATGCTAAACCCATTTTTAACTTACACTTATATAGTCCACTTAAACTAAGGATTTTTTTTTAATCATTATTAGTATAGTCGAAAGAGTACTACATCTACCTACTGTACATGTTGAACTGGATGTTCCACACATCCAAAACTCATCATGTCCAAAACTGAACTCTTTTCTTTCTCTCTAAGCCCTCCCCTCTTCTGAACTTCCCTATAATAGTTGAGGGTACCACCATTCTTCCAGGCACCCAGGCTCTCACCCAGATATCATCCTTGACTTCTCACTCAACCCCTATTTTCATTCTATTATCAATGTTTGTCATTTGTGTCTTTCTAAAATCTTTCATCATGTTCTCCCTTTTCTTCTCTGACACTATCACGCGATGGTGCAGGCTACTCTTCACCTCATGCCTGACCTACTGCAAGAGCCGGCGGGTTGATCTTCCTTCCAGAAATCTCTCCCACTCTCCAATCAATGACACTCAACTGTCATAGCGATCTTCCTAGAGCACAGGTTTGACCATGTTAACCTACCTCCTATTCACTAAGAGCCAATGGCTCCCTATTGCTTCCAAGATCAAATATAAAATTCTTTGTTTGACATTAAAAGTTCTTTATAACCCAGACCCCTACTCCTTTAAGATCCAGTAACACTGGCCTTCTTGCTGTTTCTCCATTCCTTCCATTTCCTGAACATTCCTGACATTTTCATTGACTCTTCCTTAGAGCATGGTATTCTTTCCCTCTTTATCTCTGTCTCCTGGCCTCTCTGGCTTTCTTCAAAATTCAGCTAAAAACCACCTTCTAAAACAAGCTTTTCCTTCCTATTTAACTTCCTTTAATATTAGTTTCTTCCCTCTACTGTCTATCCCCAATTAATCTTATATGTATATTATTTGTATGTGGTTTTAATGTGTTGTTTCTCCCAACTATAAGCTCCTTGAGGACAAAGACTATCTTTTGCCTTTATTTCTATCCCTAGAGCTTAGTACAATCACTGGTACACTGTAGATGCTTAATACATGTTTGTTGACTGATTAACTTACATTTGGAACATGAATTTTTTTAATCTTGACTTAGCTTCTTACTGTGGGTGTGACCATGGTTAAGTCATCTAACTTCTTTGGGCCACAGTTTCCTCATCTGTAAAATGATTGGTTGTATTAGATGTCTCAGAGGTTCCTGGTAACTCTGAATCTATGATTTTGCTATCTTATATGAAGCATTAATGTTTCAAGACAGTAACCCAGCAGAAAAAGCACTGGCCCAGGAGACAAAGGAGTTCAAATATTGTCTCTGATACTTAGACTATGAAACCTTGGGAAAATCACTTAACTTCCGGGACCACAGTTTTCTTATGGGTAGAATGTGAGATTAGATTGGATTTCCTTTGAGGTTCCTTCTAGATCTATGATCCTATTTATGTCTATATTTGGGGTATTATGCTTTTCATTTTTATTACTCCTATTTATTTTTCTTATCTTATTGTTAGAGTTAGCATTTCTAATCCAATATTGAATAATAGTGCTAGGAGTGGATATCTTTGTTTTATTCTTGATCTTATGGGGAAAGCTTCAAATCTATACCCATCACAGATAATGCTTGCTTTTGGGTTTAGAGAGATCACTACCTATCATTTTTAAAAAGGCTTTATTGATCCCTATGCTTCCTCTTGGGCTATAATATTCCTGGAAGTTTTCATTTTGGGATCTCTTTCAGCTGGTGATCGGTGGATTCTTTCGGTTTCTATTTTATACTCTATTTCCTGGACATTGGGACAGTTTTTCTTGATAATTTCTTGAAATATAATGTCTAGGAATATTCTTTGATCATGGCTTTCAGGTAGTTCAACAATTCTTGAGTGATCATTCTTTGCTCTATTTTCCCAGCCAGTTGTTTTTCTGATAAAATATTTTACATTTTATTCTATTTTGTTCATTTTTTTTTGACTTTGCTTTATTGTTTCTTGAATTCTCATGGAATTATTAGCTTCCACTTACCTAAATCTGCTTTTTAAGGAATTATTTTCTTCAATGAGCTTCTGTACCTCTTTTTCCATTTGACCAATTCTGATTTTTAAGGAGTTGTTTTCATCAGTGAATTTTTGTACTTTTCATTTGGCCAATTCTGTTTTGTTTTGTTTTGTTTTGTTTTGAGATGTTATTTTCTTCAGAACTTTTTGGTGCTTCTTTTGTGAAGCTGCTGATTATCTTTTCATAATTTTATTCCTTTGCTCTCATGTCTTTACCTAATTTTTCTCCACTCTGATTTTAAATAAGCTCTTTCAGGAAGTCTTATTGGGCTTGTGTCCAATTCATTTTTTTTTCCTTTCAGATTTTGCTTGTAGCTCTTTTGACTTCATTGTGTTCTTCTGAGTTTATGTCTTGATGTTCTCTGTCACCATGGAAGTTTTTATGGTTGGGCTTCTTTTTTGTTGTTTACTCATTCTTTTCTTCCCTACTTCTTGATTTTGAACTTTAGGTTAAAGTTGGGCTCTGTTCCTAGCGTGGTGTTAGGAGGGGAACTATCTCAAGCTTCAGAATTGTTTGTACTTCTATTTTCAGAGCTAGTTCTGAGGTTTTGGAAGTTTTCAATGCTTCCATATAGGGAGAGGTGGGATTACTGGTCTCCTGGTCCTTATCCAGGAAGGGCCCCAGATCCCTTAGGTAGCCCTAATAAATGCTACCCCTCAATGCCCTTCAGTTGGTGAATGACTGAACAAGTTGTGGTATATGAATGCAATTGAATACTATTGTTCCATAACAAATGGTTAGTAGGCAGATTTCAGAAAAACCTGGAAAGATTTGCATGAACTGATGCTGAGTGAAATGAGCAGAACTAGGAGAGCATCGTACATAGTAACACCAATGTTGTGCAAGGATCAACTTTGATAGACTTAGTTCTTCCAAGGAATACAATAATCTAAGATAATTCCAAAAGACTCATGATGGAAAATGCTATCCACATCCAGAGAAAGAATTATAGAGTCTGAATGCAGACTGAAGCATGCTATTTTCTCTTTTTTTCCTTTCTCATGGCTTGTCCCTTTTGTTCTTTCATGACACAACTAATGTGAAAATATGTTTAATATGATCATACATGTATAGCCTATATCAGATTGTATGCTGTCTTGTGGGGGGGGGGAATTTAGAACTCAAAATCTTATAAAAGTGAATGTTGAAAGCTAACAATAAATAAACAAATACATTTAAAAAAATGCTGTGCCTCAGCATCCATGATCCCTTGGGACCAAAATGAAACTGCTACTCAGAGCCCCAGCTCTCTCTCTTGACCAAAAGTGTTCCTTTGAGCCCTTGAACTATGACCTAGAAGTCAGGCTAGACAATGGATTTGCCCAACAGTATCTCATCCTGAATTTAATGCTAGCACAGAGTCCCCTGTAATCTGTTTCTGACCATTTGCCAGGTCTCCTTGCTGTCGCCAGTTGGAGAGCTCCCAAAACTTTTACTCTTTCTGTCAGCAATACCTAGTCCCAACACTAGTATTTCATTTACATGGACTTTGGGTCAGCTTCTATTCCTGGGTAACAGATCTCTCTTTCTGATCTCCTAAATTATCTTAAGCTAGAATAATGTCTCATTCTGACTTTTACCACTGATCCTTTACCACTGCAGAAATCAATTTGAGGGGTAATTTTAAAGTTGTTTGGAGGGGAATGTTAGGAGAGCTCAGCTGAGTGCTTTCACTACTCTACTATCTTGGTTCTGCCCTCAGAAGATAGGTGTTACATATTCCAGAACAAGAGAGGTGACAATCCCACTTGTCCTCTGCTTTGGTCAGATCACATTTAGGTTACTGTGTATAGCTTTGGATATCATATAATTAAGAAGAATATGGAAGAACTGGAGGGCATCAAGAATAGAGTTACCATGAAAGGGACAATAGACACTATAATAGGAACAGTTGAAGCAAATAAAGCTGTCAAGCCTGTAAAAGACAAGACCCTATTCCAAATATCCTCAAGAAACGTGAAAGACTATCATGTAAAAAGGGAATTACACTTCATTTCTTTGACCTCAGAGGACAAAACTCAGAGTAATGGGGTAGAAGAAGAATAAAGACAAATTAAGATTTGCTTTAAGGAAACATTTTCTAAGAAGTAGAGCTATTTAAAAGGGCAATAGGACGTTTTAAAAGGTATTGGGTTCTTCTCAAGTCCTAAAGGGCCAAATGAAAGATTGCTTGCCAGGAGTGCTAGAGAATGTTCAGGTAAGGATGGAATCAGATGAGATCTGAGGTCCCTGGCAACTCTGAGATATTTTGATTTTGCAAATGGCCAAGGTCCCTCTTTTCTACTTCACTCTATGATTATAGTGTAGAGAACAGTTATAGGATTTAAAATTTGAAGAACTTTTTTTCTATTCCAAAAGTTCACATAACTCAGCAAAAGGATGACAGCAACACACACACTTACATAGCAGTT